ATCTGCTCCATGATCCTGCCAGGCACAACAGGCGAGACTGACTGGTCTACAGTTTCCTGTTTTTTCTGCTTTCCGTGTTTTTGAAAATGAGGGTTATGTTTCCCTTTTTCCAGTTGTCAGGGACTTCACCTGACTGCCAGGATTTCCAGAAAATTATAGATAGTGGCTTAGCAACTTCATCAGCCAGTTCCCTCAGGACCTGAAGATGAATCTCATCAGGACCTGTGGACTTATGCACATCCAGGTTCCTGAGATGGTCTCGATGATCATCATTTTACGTATTCTAAAAGCAATTTCAAGAAAAACATCCTAAGGAAAATATGTGAACATTACCTGCCCATAACTCAGTGACTGTGCTTGTAACATACTGCATGGCAAAGTTCTTTAAGCTCTCTTTCGATCTGTCTCCATAATATTTCACAGGTTGCTATAGAAGACAAAGAGTAAAGTTTATAAAATTAAGGAGGGGAAAAAAAAAAAGGAAAAAACCCCATCCCAAAACAGACCATGTTTTTATAAGCGTACTTATGCAACTGCAGGACTAATCACCCCTGCAACCTTAGCTCTAACTGTTATCTCCTTCCCATATTGGAATGTTTGGAATTTCACCTTAATTTAAATTTTGTAATGTGATTTCTTTCCAAATCCAGCAACACCAGGATAATTTAGTCGTAGAAACACCAGCTCCCAATGACTGTATCTCTATTGAAATAAATTTTACTTGCATCAGTCCATTTAGCCTTCAGCCTCTCAAACCCCATTACTGTCAGAATGTACCCATCTGTTCAAATGCAAATTGTACACCACCCTGTGTGTACACACCACTACTTAACAAGCAGCTATGAAGCCTGATGTACATAATGTAGGCAGCATAGAGGAAATCTTGTGGAAGGAAATTCCAAGTTTCTTTATGCATATGGTCATATTCTTGAAACTCCAAACCACAGACTATTCTTTGTATTTGAAAACGCCATTACAATACTATAAGAAAAACTGTTCGAGTAACTTGTTGCTTTGCTGTAGCACCACTGCTGACAGTATCCTTCCAAAGCAGAAGTGATATGTTGCACAGAAAAATGATTCAGAAAATACATTGTATAAATAAGGTATCTATTTTCAAAGTTAACTTTCTAAATTAATTTAACCAAAGTAAAGAAAGAGAAAGAACAATTTATTAAAGGAAGGAACATATTAAAAGGAAGATCTTTATATAAAAATCTATGATTGAACAAGTATGAAAGAAATACTGTTCCAGATTTCTAAAAACACTTGAAGTCTTATCACTCACCATTCCAGTTTTGAAAACATACAGACTGGGGTAACTGTTAATCCCTTTAATTCGACAAAGCATTCTGTTATCTCCACAGTTGACAGCTCCAATGCGGATTACTCCATCCATCTCCTTAGCAAATTCTCTCCACTAAAAAACAAAACAACAACAAAAGGCTATTTCCCTATAAAGATATAATGAAAAATAAGCACATTTTATTCCTGGCATTTTGAATTGTTATCTTTGGTTTCAGCTTCAGTGTAAAAATCCACTTCATTAAATTTTATGCCGTTACAGACAATGAATTTTCAGTGTTAATTTACTTGTACATACCGTGGGGGCTAAATCATGGCAGTGGGAGCATCGAGGAGAATAAAAATTCACAAACCACAGTTCTCCTGAGTTAACAGCAGCATCTAGATGGAGAGAAGAAAATTGTAAGTAAGTAATGCACATCTACAATGTAGTTATATCTAGAATGTAAATTTTTACTTATATTTTATTCCCCAAAAGCGGCATTAAGTATTTCTGTGTCAGGCACAGTAACAATAACTCATGAGACAAAGATTGTATCTCACTTGCAGATACTCACTGTTGTAGGCAGGTGCACAAAATCGTAGCAGAAAATATGAGCACCCTGACTTTCAGTATCTGTTCTATTAATTAAGGACAAAAGTATTCTCTGCAGATTAACCTATCTGAAATGTGTGATAGTGCAAGTCTGGTTACCAAATACAAGTTCTAAAAGATTTTTACCCACTAGAACTTTCAATTTCCTTGTATCATTATCTGTTTAGTGGATTCTACCACGTAATCTTTTTTATGTAGAATCTGTGTCTAATAGGTGCTAATGCAATTTAAAAATTCAAGTCAATATAATTACTAGAAAAGTCAAGGGAAACATAATTAAATACTCTTGCTTATGAGAGAAAACAACAGCAACAAAATACACACTCAGAGAGGTCATCAGCTTGAATTGCATGGCTTTCAGCCGCTCCAATTTTGGACATAATTTTCATACTGGATTTTCTAAGTTACAGTTGTCTATATTAAAATATCCTCAGAAACAAGACAACTAAGGAATGTGTAGATTCTGCAAATCAATTAACTAAAACAAGATCAGGTTCTTATGGAGAGCATCATGAAGATGTGCTATTAGAATAGTTTACAAACACAGTTCAGCATGCAGATCCAGTCTGTACAAAGGAAATTCTATTCAAAATGCAGCTTAAAAAAGTCAGGCAAAATCCAGTACTTTTTCTCTCTATTTTCTGTTTGTTATAAACAATTAAGCTATAATTTTAAAGAAAAAAATATGGATGATATCCTCACTGAAAGTATCTTTCCACACCTTGTTGTACTTAACTGTGTTTTCAGTATCTGGTATCACCTTCTGGTCTCAGACCTCTTGTGCAAGCCACAATGGACTGGATTTTGCAGAAAAACAATTCATAGAAAAGTTCGACCAAGTGCATTTTTATATAAAAGACAAGATGATAATGCTAAATTAAGAGAAACAAAATTTTAATTCATATTATTTCCTCTTACAGAATATCTTTCAAGCTTTATGTAAAGTGTTCATTGATACTGATCTATTTGCTAACCAGCACTGACCAGGAAGTGTTAAGGGGTTTTGTTTGTTTTATCATGTAAATATGTTTTTCTGACAGGTTTTTTTTATATAGATATGTAATAGAAGCCTATAGACACACAGCTCAGCAAGTAAAAATTGTTACTTTGCGTTGCCATGTTGTCAAAGGGATAGCCATTTATTTAAAACTTACCAAATTCTCCTCTATCCAATGTTATAATTTCAGGATCATCATCATAAATACCTATTATAAAAAGGCAAGAATTGCTTTTATTTTTGCCATCTTTAAAACAAAGAAACAAACTATCATCTTATTCACAAGACAGAAAACAGAAGACAGTAGACTCAAGTTGAAACACTAGGCTGGCAAAGATAGTTTTTACAAAAATGCTGTATTTGTTTAGTAACATGTAACCTCAGTTTAACCTCTCACTAACTCCTGCACACTCATGCTACAAAAGCCACTATCAGAACAGAACAGTTCTTTGGTTGTTTTAGTAGACTAGCTACTGAACGTGCAAAGAACTTGAACTACTGCTGTTATGGCACAAGTATTAGAAATAACATCAACCAGTTGTCAGATTAAAATTCAAGAAGCTTCACATCTCAGTGAGAGCTTTATGTAACATCTGGAAGATTTCATTTTTCTCTCAGCCTCTGGCTATCTAAACAATTTAGATCACAAAAGGTGCTTCAGCCACAAGTTTTTTCCACTGACAGAATGTGTGAATGCAGTGGAACGAAGTGGATAGAATAAAGGTAAGGAAGGCAAAGCTAACCAGTCCTATCTAGGTCATCAACACAAAACACTCTACTACTTCAACTACACAAGAAAGGCTACTATGGCTACAGATCCTTTACAGTACCTAACACGGTGAGATGTCATTTCACCTGAGGTATACAAGGATTAAATGCAAATAAATAAGGAGAGAAATTAATTTCTACAGGGACAAGGTACTTTTTATATTACTGTCCATTTATATGTCATGCAATACAAGACATACACTCACTCATATGTATAAATATCTTTAATATATACACACACACGTGAAACATAAAAATGGATGCTCTCCAAATGACTGATTGTTTCTCAGTCAAGCAGAATCAACTTCAAGCAGATAAAATTTCTTAGATTTGTTTAGCTGAAGAAGTTTTAGGATGATGTCTATATTTTCCTGTGATAGTTGCACCTCTGGTTTATTTCAATTTGCACAGACATTAATTTTTTAGAGACTGGGACACATATCAAACTATACCAGAAAAAGATTTTCCCAAAGTAGAGGTTCATTTCAGCAATTTCTTTCACATCAATCAAACCATGTTCCTCAGCTCCCTATTTCAGCTTACTCCTTTACAGCAGTGCATCACAGCCTTTCCCTGCAACTACTGTTTGTTGAGACAAACATTAAGTAATTTTTCTCAACTTCATTTTAGGTATGATTCTATTATTATTTTTCATTTTCTACTACCTCTTTACTGATCTCTAATTGTATAACTACATATAAAATAGGCTTGACAGTGCAAAAAACTCTTTAAATCCTCTTAAAGAATATTTTATCTACAAAAAAGGTCTACCTGCATGAAAAAGTTAAGGAGAATCTTGATTACATATTAACACTGAAATGTAAGTGAAAAAAAAAGCAAAAAAAGCTTTGCACTTAAAAAAAAAAAAAGTTAGATGACCAATAAAAAGGTAAGCAAGAGAAACAAAAGGCCAGGTACACAGATTATTACATTTTTGGGTAGTCATTAACAGGGTAAATAAAAGATTGGGTCAACAGAGAGAAAGTGACAACTGCAGAGCAGACAGAAATCTGGAGAGGATACAGCAGAAACAATGAAAACATTTAAGACAGATCTGAATATTGCATTTACTTGAGACTGTTTCAAGCAAATCATGAACACACACCATAACTTACCAAAATCATAGCGATAGAAGTGCCAGCTTTCGTAACGGCCTCCTTGCTGCTGATCCTCCAGACCCTTCTCTCCGTATTTATCATACTTCTTCCTTAGATCTTCATCTTTCAGTACTTCATATGCTCTATTTATTTTCAAAAAATTGTCATGTGCATTTGGATCATTCTGTGTAAGGAAAATTATAGTTAGTAATTAATTAATAAACCATGTTGTGCATATAATGCTGAGAAAATACTCTTTAGAAGTATATTTATATCCCTACTAAAGATGTCTATTGTGATGGAAGCAAACATTGCACAGTAATCTCCAAACTACAGTTTTCCTTTCCTGAAGCCAGATGCGTCCACTCCTCATTTCTTCACCCTCACTAAAATAGCAACTGAAATACAAAGTGAACTGGTAGGAAGTTGTAACATTCTCAAGTGATCCCTCTTCTTTCAACTCTCTCTCTTCAATGGAGTAAATCAAAAAAGTACTCAAGAATGAAGGCTTAACACTTCGTCTATAATCTTTTCCACTCCCCTAGAATTCCCACTTGTCCAGTTTGAAATCTCTGCTATGAAGACAGATTCAGTCCTCCTGATCTTAAGAGTGTAGACAGATGGCATTTTTTTTATTTGAAAAGCATTGTAGCTCTAGGTAGCTTCAGAATTAGAGCGGTGAAAAATCTGCAGACGTATTTTGAACCCCCGTTTGCATTCTGTGCTGGTGCAGTGTAACAGTACTGAGCAAAACCTGCCACACTCTCCCACTCTTCTAACTTCTGCTTACATGTTTAATTCAGAAGACATTTTTTCTTAAAGAGTCTTGACTTATTTACCTAGATACACAGGAAATTGGTTACCATTATGGATCTTGGCTAACGGCTTCATCTTCTATATATCATCTTTAACATTGAAAATAATCCATTGAAAAATCATTAGTAGTATTTGCGTACTTGGATACTACAGAATCTGACCCAAAATGTCATTATTTTGAAGGTATCAACATAGGCAAAACAAAACTTGCAGTTAACAGCTACGAGTTAGCCAAATGTCAGCGAAGTTCAGAATGCTTTCTCTTTGAGCCTTGTAAGAGGTTCCAATGCAGTCTGTGAAGGCAAACCCTGAGCTCATATGGAATACTGTTGTCTTTTGGGGCTCCACACAGGTGCAGTTGTACACAAATATCTTAATCCTCATATTTTCTGTGAATTTCTGCTTATTTCAGGGCATTTCAAGGAAAAACTGATGGTATTTAAATTTGAAAGTGATTTGTTTGTATTTCAGAAATGAGGCAGCACAGACTGAGCTGTTCTTAGTCTTCTCTCCCTAGTTAGTCCAGAGTTCCTTATAACCTCCACTGTTATGCCTTGGCAGTCCCAGAATTTCCCTTTTGTCCTATTTGATACCTAGAGACTGATGTCTCAGTACAGGCTGATGTTATTTGTTGTTTACATGAGACTTCATGTGAGGGAAACAGTAAGTTCCCCTAAGCTAAACGGAAAGAGACAAAGTCATCAGTTTGCCAACACAAGTTTTCCTCTATTTACAAAAATATAATTCAGAAATAATCTTGACTCCTTTTATTACAGCAATTTAATACAGCCCAAATTCAACACAACCATGTATGTTGGACTATCTCTTTTGTAAATTTTCTCTGCAGTAAATCTGTGCTGAACCACATTATCAGGTGGTTACATTACTTCACAAGAACAGAAACATTTTAGATATATTAAACCCACTTTTTGTTTAAACATGAATATCAACTTATTCAACAACTTGGACCTGTTAAAGATGCAACTTACCTGATTTTTATCAGGGTGCAACTTCAATGCCAGTTTTTTGAATGCTTGTCGTATTTCTCTACTGCTTGCTTCTTTGGACACTCCAAGTAAACTATAGTAGTCCTGATCAGTGCACACAAGAACTATTATACACACTAAAAGTAGCAGTAAAGATCTTTTGAAATATCTACTATAATCTCCTTTGGACACTAAGAACTCCATTACGAAGGTCTGGGGAATTTTGCAGGTTCTGAGTTGAGCGGCCCTTGGGAAGAGTCTCCAGTAAATCTGTTCAGGTACAGCTGGATTTGGTGAAGCTCTTTGAAATGCTAGTTGTTCTACTTTATGTCACGAGTCTTGCAAAAGTTACAAGCTGTAAAATAGAGGGAGGAAAAACTCAATCAAATACTACTTCTTCAGTAAGAACAGGTCAGGAATGAACCCCACAGCCAACTGGGGTAGGGTAAGTGTGAACATTAAGCTCCTCGATGGCTAATTACCTTCTTTCTGAAGGCCACGTTAAGTTACTCTGAAGGAGGTAATCACGCAGAGCTGCAGAACATGACACTAAATACCTCTATCCCATTAAAAAAGCGCGTTCAGTAGGGCTCACTTTTCCTCGCAAACTTACCTCCAGCAGCGCGGGCACACATTTCCCCCGGGAGGGCCGGGTGCTCTG